TGGGTGATGTGGGGCACAGTGGGGGATGTGGGGCTGGGTGAATGATATGGGACAGAGTGGATAATGTGAGGCAGGGCAGCAACCAAGCACCCCACACATGTCAGAGGAAGGACCTGATCCTCCTCCTCTTCATCCTTTGGGGACAGGGATGAAGGAGCCACACCGAGCTGTCCCCATCACCCTCATCCCACCCAGGGCTCCCAGCAGCCCCACAGCCCAGCCCGTCACTGAGTGGGTGCCACCAATGTCCCCAACACCCCAAAGAGCCCCCGAGCCTGCAGGGCCACCCCAGCCATGCCCACTGCAGGCTGAGCCCGGCTGGCACCCAGCACCGCCAGGGCCAGGGGAGGTGAAGCAGCACCAACACCATTTCCTACAAACCAGCCTCTTGCTGTGGTGGCTGGCAGGGCTGCAGCTATTTTGGGTGCCAGACACCTCATTCTGTGCCACACGTGAGCGGGCAGCGCACCGAGGCTGGCACGGAATGTTCTGGCACCCCCAGGGAAGGGTTTGTGCTGCAAAACCCTGGCAGAGCCGTTTCTGGGGCACTGGATGTGTGAGCACAGAGAGGGATGGGCAGTCTGGGCAGCACGGGGGGTGGGACAGGATCCAGGCAGCACCAGGGACAAAGCACTGCCACAGGGAGGGGACAGGGCAGGGGACAGCCCCAGGGGGTGGCTGGGGGGCAGGAAGGACCAACATCTGCAGGTGTGTGGGTGACTGATGGGCTGTGCCACTCCTGGGATGCTCCATCCCTCCTGGACACAGCACACAAGGGCATCTGGGACATGGCCATTCCTGAAGTGCCACCTGTCCCATGGTGTCCCCTCCAGTGCCACTGGACCTGTTCTCCTGCCTCTTCCCAGGGCTCAGAGCAGCACCAGGCCCACTCAGGGCTCCCTGAGCTCCCTCATGCCCAAACTGGGCTGGGGGACATGGCCAGGACCAACACATTCCATCAGGGATCCACCAGACCCAAACCCACCCAGGGTGGGCAGGAGGAAACACAGACAGACAGACAGACAGACAGACTGACTGACTGACTGACTGTCCCCAGGATGGCCGGGAGGGTGGTGGCAGCTGGGCTGGNCCCGTCCCTCCGACCCGGGTCTAACCCAGGGGATGCCATTTGCTGCCCCAAAATCTCCAACACCCCCAATTTTGGTGTATTCATGGGGTTTAACCAGAAAACCCCAGAGCAGTGCCGGGGTGGGGGACACGGTCCCAGGAGGGGACAACAGGGGGATGTGGCTTTGTCCCCACCCTCAAACCAGCAACGGGCGCCCATTTTTAGGGCCGGGCCTGCGTCTCTGTCCCTGCCAAGCCCCTGTCCAAGCGCGGGGGAGCAGCGAGGCGACAGCGGGGACACCACGGGGACAGCTGGGGACGGCACCACACGTTACCTTACAGTGAGGGGCCGCGGCTTGGAGGAGCCCTGCGTGGGGGACGAGGAGCTGCTCCTGTTCAGGTCCTCCAGAGACCTCTCCTTGCCCTTGTCAGAGCCGGGGCTGTTCTCCGAGCTCTCCATGTCGTACCTGGTGGTGACATGGGGACACGTGAGATGTGGCACCTCAATATGGGTGGGTGTCCCTCAGGAGTGCATGGGGGTTTACACAGTCCTGGGGACATGGTGGCCTGGGGACAGCACAGTGGCCTTGGGGACATGATGGCCTTAGGGACAGTTTGGTGGCTCAGCATGCTTTGGGACATGATGGCCTTAGGGACAGTTTGGTCACTCAGCATGCCTTGGAGACATGATGGCCTTGGGGGACAGCAAAGTGGCCCTGGGGACATGATGGCCTTGGGGACAATTTGGTGTTTCAGCATGCCTTGAGGACATGATGGCCTTGGGGACAGTTTGGTGGCTCAGAGGCCTTGGGGAACAGCACAGTGGCCTTGGGGACATGATGGCCTTGGGGACAGTTTGGCGGCACCCCAATAGGGGCAGATGCTCCTCAGGGATTTGGGGATGCTCTGCTCAACCCCAGCCATGGAGCATCGCCCTGGGGACAAGGGAGGGCACCCCCAGGGACCCCTCCCCAGCCCTGCTGATCCCCAGGGGAGGATGGTGCCAGCCTTGGGGACAGGGGACTCGCTGGGGACGTACGCGACGGAGCACTGGGCGAAGGCAAGGTACTCCAGCAGCACGTCCAGCCCCTTGTTCTCCTCGTTGAGGAACTCCTGGACCCATCTGGAGGGGGCAGAGGGGTCAGTGAGCTCTGCCAACCCCCACATCCTCCCTCCCCCTGCACCCAGACACCCAGCAAAGGTGGAACAGAGGTCCCCAGCAAGGGTGGAACATGCTGGGGACATGAGGTGGCACCATGAGCTGGCATTTCTGTGAGTGCCACAATGAACTTGGTATGGGGGGGACACAGCCCAAGGGCTCTCCTGCCACCACTGCCATTGTGTCACCATGACAGGACAGCCTAGCCCTGGGGACAGTAGGCACCCACCAGGGTCCAGGAGAGCCAGGGTAGGGGAGGGGGGGCACCCTGGGGTACCAGAGAGCCATAACGGGTCCAGACGCCCCAGCACTCTCAACCTCCCATCAGAGCCCTCCTAAGGGTTCAGGATGAAGCCACAGCCCCCCATCCTGCTGTCACCCTCCAGGCAGAGCCAGCACAGGTCCATCCCCATCCCAGAGGTGGTGGCAGCAGCTGGGTGACAATGCCACCCCTCCCTTACCCGATGTAGTTGGTCCTCAGGGAGATCTCCAGCTCCCGCAGCACCTGTGTGGACTCCTGCACCCTCCTCTTGAACTGTGGGACAGGGACAGCCATTGGCACCGGGACAGCCATTGGCACCAGGACAGGGACAGCCATTGGCACCGTCCCTGTGCCCAGCCTGGCACAGGGACCAGGGTGCAACGGGGACCCCTCACCTTCCTGCTGACCCCACCCGTGTCCAAGTAGCTCTTCAGCTTCTGGATGTAGGCGGATGGAGGGTTCTTCACCTGGAAACGCTCCTGCAAGCCCAGAGAGAGGCTGAAACTGGGCCACCCGTGAGGCAAGGGACGTGCCACTGTCCCCACAGCAGCCACAGTGTCCCTGTCCCCACCCCTGCCTAATGAGGTTAATGAGGGGCTGTGTCAGTGATGAGATGGATGTCAGGGCTTGGTACAGCCAGGCTGGTGCCCAAACCATGCCACGAGTGGCACCTGGGGACAGGGACAGCACTGGGGACACTCTGAGCTTGGAGCTCACCTGGTCACAGATCAGCTCCCACTTCTTCTCGTTGTCGTACTGGTTGAGCAGCTTCATCTTGTCCGGGGGCAGGTTCATGGAATTCTGTGGGTTAAGGGTGTCAGTGCTGGGGGTCACCCCAAAAACACCCCAGGGATGGAGCACCCCCTGCTCAGAGAGCTCTGGGAGATGGGGAGACCCATGGGAGGAGGGGGATCCTGGTGGGACACGAAGATCCCAGTGAAAAGATGGAGACACTGGTGGGACATGAAGATTCCAGTGAGAAGATGAGGACACTGGTGGGACACAAAATTCCAGAAGATGGGGTCACTAGTGTGACAATGGGGACACTGGTGGGACAACGGGAACAGCGATGGAACTGGTGGGATGATGGGATCATGGTGGGAAAATGAAAGCAGCATTCTCAGGATGGGGACACTGGTGGGACATGAAAATTCCCGTGAAAAGATGGAGACACTGGTGGGACATGAAGATTCCAGAAGATGGGGGCACTGGTGGGACAATGGAGACACTGTGGGACAACGGGGACAGTGATAGAACAATGGGACAATGGTGGGATGATGGGATCATGGTGGGAAAATGAAAACAGCATTCTTAGGATGGGGACACTGGTGGGACATGAAGATTCCAGTGAGAAGATGAGGACACTGGTGGGACACAAAATTCCAGAAGATGGGGTCACTAGTGTGACAATGGGGACACTGGTGGGACAACGGGAACAGCGATGGAACTGGTGGGATGATGGGATCATGGTGGGAAAATGAAAGCAGCATTCTCAGGATGGGGACACTGGTGGGACATGAAAATTCCCATGAAAAGATGGGGACACTGGTGGGATATGAAGATTCCAGAAGACGGGGGACACTGGTGGGACATGAAGATTCCAGTGAGAAGATGGGGACACTGGTGGGACAATGGGAACAGTGGTGGAACAATGGGGACAGTGGTGGGAGGGTGGAATCACAGTGGGGAAATGAAAACAGAATTCTCAGGATGGGGACACTGGTGGGATGATGGGGACAACACTGGGAAGTTGGGAACACCACATTTCCCAGGATGTGAGCATCCCATGGACCCATCAGTGATGTCCCCACCTGAGGGTCCCCAAGGAGGACAAGAGGAAGAGCTGGACACACCCACCCATGTCATGAGTGTCCCATGTGCCTCAACCATCCCAGTCCCAGCAGTGCCACACGGGGTGAGGAACAGGAACACGACTGAGGGACAGGGACACGGCTGCTGACACAACTGAGGGACAGGGACATAACTGGTGACAACTGAGGGACCCAGGGACACAACTGGTGACACAACTGAGGGACAGGGACATGACTGGTGACACAACTGAGGGACAGGGGCACGACTGGTGACAACAGAGGGCCCCAGGATCCTGGGCTGTGCCTGGGGGTCACCCCTGAGTCCCCCCCACCACAGAGGGTGACGAGCCCATCTGGGGACAGCAGCGTTTGCTGAGACACGATGACGTCAGGCCTGGCTTGTCCCCAGGTCCCTCCTTGTCCCCCAGCCCCCACAGGACGTGATGTGGCTTCCGCTGCCAAAACCGCCCCCGCCACCAGCGGGACACGGCCCTGCCCCTGCTCGGGGACACGTGGGGCACCTCCATGGGACACCAGCGTGGCCTGGGCCTGCTGCAGCTCAGCTCGGCTCACAGGGGGGTTATTTTGCTGAAAACCCCAGGTTTTGGTGGGTGGCAGGTGCACGATGGCATGTGGGGCAATGCACGGCCCCAAGCCACCCCTAAATCCCAGTCCTGGGGTTCCCTGAGGAGGATGATGGGGACGTGGGGTGCATGCCATGCTGGAGCAACCACATCCTCTCAGGAAGGCATCTCCCAGGGCTTTGGCTGCCCACAGAGGAGCAGGTCCAAGGCCAGAGGTCCCACTGTGGTGGGCAGGAACAGAAACCTCTCCACCACCAGCTCCTCCAGGGAGGACCTGACGAGCTGCTTCTGCAAGAAGCCAAAAGCAGGAGCTGCGGCTGGGGAGCAGCTGAGTTGGGCTGGCACCAAGGGCTGGGCACGGGGACAATCAGGGTCTGAAATGGCCTCACTGTGAAGCTGCTGGGCTCTGGAATGGGCAAGGTGGCAGCAGCACCTGGCTGTCACCATTGCTGATCCTGAGCTGCCATCCTTGGGATGGATGAGGGTCAGACCAAGAGACCAAGAGGGACAACACAGCCAGACAGCCCAGCCACACCTGTGGGACACCCTTGGCACAGAGGGGATGGCGGCACCTGCCACAAGGACCATCCCATGTGGGACCTGGACCCATCAGGACCCTGGGTGTGACAGGAGCCAGCAGGACTCGGGGTGTGACAGGAGCCATCTCGAGGGTGTGGCAGGGCTGTCCCACGGAGGTGGCTCTGCCCCCAGCCCTGGTGCCTCCCTTGCGGGCAGGATGTGGCACAGGTCGGGTACAAAGTGGGTGGGGGCTCCTCCCGGGTGGGCTCGTGGTGCTGGGAGGAAGCGGCTCCGCTGAGGAGCCTCAGCCGGCAGCTCAAAAAAAACCCCAAAAAAACCGG